TCTTAATTTTATATATATATTTTTAATTTTAAAGATATAGGTACATAATTTTAAAAGTCAACCCTATACTAATCTTTAAAACAACAAATAATAATACTCTTCTCTAGTCACTACATTCTTGATTACTGCTCACCAAAAGCAGTTCTCTATCTGTCATCCAACTTTTCTTCTAGTATTTAGATTTCTTTTTCTATATATTACATGCATACCACTCCTTGATTCTTAAAAATCTACTGAAGAGGATTTAATTCTCCTATGATATCACATATTCATATATAAGCACACATTTCCCCCCATTTTTCCTATATAACAAACTTTGCATACTCAATGTTTATAATTTAATTCTGTATTATGATCTGCAGAATACATAGTGTGCTATGATTATATTTTTGTTCTTGTACAATATTTTATTTACTCAGGGATTAAGAATTGTTGTTGTTCACCACCTGTCAGTTTTCGACACTCCCAAATGATCACCAAAATCATGCCACTGTCCCAACAGACTTACATAATCTTTGTAAATTTCCCTTGGACATCCTTCCTGAAATCTGTGATTTTACTTTAGATTGACTAATCTATAGTCTATTTGCATAGGGATCAATATAGGACTCTTTTTCACCATTTTTCTCAGCATTCCTTTATCTCCACCCTATGCTTGGATTCCCATTTTCTTGGATGGTTCATGTATCAGTCATAATCAGCCAAGTTTTGCTGTATCACAAATTACTGCAAAATTTAAATGACTTATAATATCCAGCTTTTGTTTCTTGTATACATTCCATGCCCTTCACAGGTCACATGTACCTCTGTGCCATGTTACCTTCATTCTAGCACCCAGGCTAACAGAGCAACCTCTGCTTAAAATGTTGCTGGTCATCATGGCAGAAGGAACAAGAAACATGGTGGATCATGAGCCAGTTCTTAAAGTGTCTGCTCAGAAGTGCCACATGACATTTCACCCACATGCCACTGGCTAATGCAATTAACATAGCCGTACAGGCTCAAGAATGTCCTCCTGGAGAGGGAGTGTCTAGGGGCAGGAACCCAACCATACAGTCAAATCTGACATCACAGAGCAGAGATATGTAATCTTCTGCAGGAAAGTCTAGCTAATAATTATGAACAATAAAGCTATTATAGCATGTCTTCCTCATTTTTATTTCATCTTTTTCATGAAATACCTTTTATCCTCAGGGGTTTATATCTTTTTTTTATTCCTTTACTGTAGTTTCAGTAGTTTCAGGAGTGTGTTCCATCTGCCATGTTTAACCAAAAGTCCAATAGCCCATCACTTTCAAAGGGAGCGTCTAGGACATGGTCTATTTGATGTCTTTAATTACCGTTTTTATTCACTGTACCATTTTTCCATTATTTACAGCAGTTTTTCCCACAAATGCCTACAAATGTCAATAAAGGATAAACCTGTATCTCTTTTTGAATACACAACTACTCAATATGGTAAGTTCACTTTAAAACTGAGGAGGAGTTTTCTAAAATAGCTTTGATTCTAAACATCTTGATTTTGCCCTTCCTGATTATCTCTAAGCTCCAGGCTTATGTCTGCAATGAAATCAAGAAGATCAAACGAATTCAGTTCTAATTCTTGTAACCACAGACAATTATATACTCAACATGTTGGCCTAAATTAAAATCTACCTAGAACTTATATCAAATATTAAGAGATACTTGGGAAAATACATTTCTAAAATAGAACTCCATATGCCAAAATCTTATTTAGTTATTACATGGAAAACATAGTAAATGGGATAATATAAAAAATGGCCAAATTCAGCTTTTTGTTGTTTTTACTTGATAATTTGCTAGCTACTAACTCAGATAGCATAGATTCTTAAGAACTTTTAAACACTGACATGTACTCTAAAAAGATGAAGGGTTTCTTAAAGGTAAACTATGCTCAAACACATTATTCATATGCTAGCACTTCTACTGGTTGGGCCCAGGCTTTTGAAAGTATGTGTTCTTGGTTCAAATGCTATTCTCGTATCAAAATCGTCATGAACCTTTAACTTTAGCTTTCTCATTTACAAAAATAGGCATAGTAGCATTTCCAAGAAGTAGTTATGAGAATTAAATAACCCACATGAAAACCCTGACATAGTGCTAGTAATTGTTAAATAAATTAATTGTTAAATAAATGATCAGTAATTGTTAAATGTTTTATTTTCTGAAATTAACAGCTATTTTAGTTACTTTTAAAACTTACACAGGCCAAATCTTATTACAGTGAAGTTTAAAAACTATAAATATTTTACTGTAATAAAGCTATTGTGCTTGATCAAAACTGTTTATCAGACATCTTTTAAAAAAATTAAAAGAATTAAAAGAATTTTAATAGAGTTTGCGATTTTCACTTTTTTATTTTGCTCTCTTACAATCATCCAATTCAAGAGAAAAATAGTTATCACCTTACAATCTGTTGTTTTTAGTTTCCTGAATCTAAAAGAATCCATGAGGAAACTCACCATGAATCCATACCAGCTCTACCTCTGTCTACTTGAAATGTCCAAATATGATCTACAACATAAGTAATCCAAAGTGAAATGCCAAAACTATGCAGAGATTCTTGACTACAACAGATCTTGAAAGAAATAGAGGCTTAAAAAAAAAAAAAGAAAAAAAAGGCCTCAGTGAAGCTGGGTTCACTGTCCATAAGATGATGAGTTAATTTTTATGTTATGAATGAGTATGCAATTATTATATGAAGTGTCTGAGTCATTTTAAACATTTGAAAGAAGTATAAACCTTTGAAAGCATAGGGGCAAACCTTTCTGTGAACCTTTGATATTAGAGATTGAGACGGCTTTCACAAATAAACTAAATTAAAAACAAATGATTAACAGCTGCAAAGGTAATCAGCACCAGATTTTAAGGAGAAAAAAAGGCAAAAAAAAAAAAAAAAGAAACAAACAACCAGAAGCATACGCAGATTCATTCCCTTCTTTCTTGTTCAACTGAGTTCATTTCTTTCTTATGGAAATAAAACATTAGAAATAGTTTAACTATCCACAGGCTGCCTTCAATATACATTCATGTTTAATAGTGGAGAGAGCAACACGTGGAATTGATATCAGGCTCTGGGGGGTTTGTATACAGGTCTGTCACCTCACTGAGCATCAGTTTTCACCATTACAACTTCACAGTGAAATTATGTACCTTATAAAGTTCTGATTATGAAATATGGCAAAATAAATAAAAATGTGTACAACAGTGCTAGTCAATACAAATATAAGATGAAGCACAAATATGAGTCACATGTCATTTTTAATTTAAAAAAGAGCTGAAGAATTTTTAATAATGTATTTTATTTAATTCACATGAAAATATATCAAATAAATAAAAAAAGAAAATATATCAAATTATTAATGAAATTTTAAAACTTTTTGTACCGAGTCTTTGAAAATTGTGGACATTACACTGAACAACACAACTGATATCAACACAACATCAATGGAATTGATGTCAATTCAGCAGTCAAATTTCAGGCACTTAGTGGCCACATGCAGTTAGAGATTATCGTTGTTAGCTAGCACAGGCTAAGAACTGAGATGTAGTTTAATGTATGTTCACTAGATCCCACAGTATTTGTATCAGATAAACTGTGGGACTTAGCAAAGTTATTTTTTAAATCAGCCATATCAATGAGTCTGGAATCGTAGCCATGACATGTAGTGTGGTTCTAACTTACAACAAAACATGCCTTCAATGACTAAACTAAAACAGATTATCATAAGCCATCAATATTCATTTATTTTATATGTATTTTGTGGTTGTTTTGCTTGTTAGGGCTTGACTTCTGTATTACTTTGTCATACTGTAATAATTTTTTTAAAAAAGAAACCCTGACAAACTTACAAAAACAAACAATTTAACTATAAGCTACAACGGATATTTCATATCTTCAGGAAGAAACATGAATGGAAAACAGAACATTTCTCTGTATTTCTACATTTTTACTTCACAGGACCTACCATCAGTAAGTCATGTTACAGCTGTAATAGTTTTCAATTTTCCCTCTTCCAGAAAAATTTCATTATATTTTCTAAATTATAGAATGGCAGGGTCAACAGGACCAAGACAGCTTAGTTATATGTGAATAAAAGTAAATATAGCATTAAAATCATTGTATTTACTTGAAAACAATTCATCCAGGTTAAAACATTATACATGTATATATTGTATTACATCTATTAACACTACACTGAATAGTATACACTAGGCAAATTCTTGTGTCTTGAGCTCAGAGTGGGGTAGAAAATATATGGCAAACATTTCTTACCTGCAAGGTCATGTTGACAGTTAAACATGTAGTACAGAGCATAGAAATACACATACACTTATGTATCTTATTTCACACAGTTCATGTACTTTTCATCACTTTTTCCCTTGACTGCCCAACAGCCAACATAAGTGATCAGAGAAGACACCAGAGTAAAGGCGAGATATCTCTCACAGGTGCTATCTTATTTCAACTCTTCCAAGGACCATTAAGGTATCTAACATTACTTCAACATTACAGAGTGTTATGAAATTCATAGTGACCAAAACACTTGGACTTGGACTGATTTTTCAGTCGCTACATATTCAGAAGACTATAGTTCTAGAATAGAGGCCCTATCCGTCACAGGATGCTCTGTTAGAAGTGATACCCAAAGAAAACACGCTACAAGCTGAGTTAATTCTGTAGTCCACAGCATCGCCTAGGTGTCCCTAAAAGATGCTTAATAAGAATTGCCTCACCCAGCCCTGTTCACGCTTGACAAATCTGATGGGTTCACACTACAGAGTGGTATAGCTGCAGAAGAAGGGGTTAAATATTATCTTATTTTAGTCACACTGTTTTCACTTAAAATTTCCCAAGAAGAAGCTGTTTCCTCAATTAGGCAACTACTTCCCAAGCTACCCAATGATAACCCTAGAGTCACCGACACAAAATATAAACACACTGTCCAAATTTAAGCATGGCCTCAGGAAAGACTCACATCTGGCATTTCTGTAGAGAAGGAAAGGGTCCTGGAGCTGGAAATCCAGGTCTTTCGTGATGGGTTCGGTTCGATTTTCCATGCTCAGTCTGTTCATGATGGTGAACCCATGCTTTGGAGAAGCAGATCTAAAGTCATGGGGGAAGGGAGAAGGTTACCAAAGACAACAATTCAGTCTAGTATACTTTAATGTAACGACCTGCAGGTGTGCTGCTCAGCCTTTTTGTCTACATTTGCAGTTTTGTGCAAGACTGTGCACATGTAATGAGTCTTCACCATCAGCTCATAGTACTAACATACCAAGTTAGGTGCCAAAGCAGTCATACATCGTATGACTGTCATTGCCACTCCTCTGTCACTACCATTACTATTACTTGATCTTTGGACAAAATTAAATCCTATTTATTTAACTCAGTGTGTGTGTGTGTACAGGCTGTAAATTCCCTTAAGGCAGAGATGGTATCCACTTTTTAAAAAAAGACTGACACACTTTTAAAGAATCAAGATAGTTAATATTGAGTGTACATCATAAGTATATAAAAAACTTCTCACAGAAAATATTGGTGTTAGTTTGAAATTGAAATCTGCAAAATCTCATGGAGAAATGCCACAACTTGAATCAATGAACTAGGGAGGGAGGAGATAAAATTTTAGACATTATATAGTTTCATGTAAAGAACAGCTTTTGCGCTCTTTAATATAAAGCAAACAGACTCTCAGATAAACTACTAAAATGTTTTCTTTAGTAGCACTTAGTAACTTTAAAAATTTTTTCATTTCATTCAGTGTCTTCAGTGCCTGTTCTGTCAGGTAGAAAGAACCCAAATTATGGAGAGTAAATCTAACAGTGACGCATGGATTGGTCTACCCTTGGGTTACAGCCATGCAGTAATTCAACTGTGCAACTTCTGGTGGCCAATGAAATACCACATGCTTACACACTGAAACTGAAACAAGCAGAATTCATTTATTTACTTTGAATCTGGGCACCATGGTAGAAACCTTAGGAGTGATTAGAAGAATAGGTGTTTATATCTTGGTTTTATTTCACATCAAATCATTTGATGCTGATAAAGTAAAATACACTTGCAACATTTTCTTTTGCCATCTCCAATTTTTAAATTGATGGAAGGTAATCCTTGCCTAACTTATTTTGTAAAGCAGTAAAAGGGTGGTAGGCATCTCCTCAATACTGTGAAATAATCATGGCGACCGTTTCCACTTAACTTTCAAGAAAGAATGAAACCGATTTCAAACAATCTCTGACAGAGGGTCCTTTGGAGGAGTCAAGTTCAGAAATCACCAGTGGGTATGTTTATGAACCCTCTATTATAGAAAAGAAGACATGGGAGGAAATAAAAAATAATTTAAAATGGGATTAAGTGTTCTTACATAGAATCAGAATTTGATTCTGCCAAGTATTTCATTATCACAACAGGATTTCATCACTTTAATAATATGGGGACCACACTGTTTTATAATTTGTAAAACAGGCTCAAGGGATAAATGTGCCAATTGCTGGAAAGCAACATCCGTAAGAGAAGGCCAACTAAATCACCTGACCCAAAACCGCCTTTCTGGTTTCTATGGACTTTCTGTCATCCTCTACTGAGGAAAGAGTACATTGACATATACTGGAATCTGGCACCTGGGGGCTGAGGATTGGGGGATAGGAAGGGAATATTATATTCTTGAGGAGTTAAGATTCGAGGAAGAGATAAATAGGGGAGGGTTTGCTTCTCAAGTTAATGGTTTAACTGACAACTCCATTAGGAACTCAAAGTATATGGCGAAGTACTTGAAAATACCAAATTACATGTTGTTTGAGTACAAAAGGAAAAAAAAATTGCTGTAATCCATTACTCTTCTGCACTCCAAAAAAGAAACCTATGAAAATTCCTTAAATATCATAAATCATCAAGACACACTAATAATCTTTCCTTTCACTCTCAAACAAATACTCTTTGTTAGAAACAAATGAGAATACATGTTGCATGCTTGGCACTCAGTAAAACTCAGCCTTTTGGTATTTTCACACTTCAGAATTCTCAGAAGTCTCCTGTACTCCACTAAATGAACTCACTTGGAGATAGATTCTGGTACTTTGGAGTTTGGGGAATATAGTATAAATATATAAAGCCAATAACGTGTGGACATGCCTACATTCCTGAAACTAGAAAAACTACTTTGCAGCCCCTCTGATTCCCATGCCTCCCCAGTCTTTTCTCTCCCTCCCCACTGCTGCTTCCTGTCCCCATGAGTTCTTGCAGTGGGCCCACAGAGTTCTCTTTATACGTACTAGTTCTGTTTTTATCTTTCTGGCTGCCTCATTTCTGCATCCTTGCTGGCAATAAAACCCAACCATTAGCCCTCATCAATTTAAAGATTTATTTATTTGTACATACAGAACTGGGGTACAGGCCAGAGGCTCAGGGGCGGAGAGAGGCTTCACCAGAGACAGAGTGGGGAGCAGAACAGGCAGATCGAGGAAGTACACTGCTGAGGGGAGCAGCGGGCGGGTCAGGAGAGGTCTGCCGCGCCATGTGGTCACCTCCGGGGCAGGCGGGAATCGAACTCATGCGGAAGTGGCCTTAGCTTCTTAATGCTGTGCTTTAACCTGCTGGGCCACCGGGGAGGGCCCTAATTTGTTTTTTTTTTAACTTTCTCCCTCAGAGACGTTTTCTCCCACGGTTTCAAAGACCACAGAAATGGAGAAGACCCCAAACTGTCTTATCTCCAACCCCAACCTGCATTTGGATGTCCTGCTCCACTCCAAAATTGTCAGTTCAAAATAAGAGTTTATCCTCAAATCAGATTCTCAATATCTGGTCTCTTCCATTTCCTCAAATGATTTTATCTTTCAATCTTCCATTTCAAAATCTTAATGTCATTTAAAAAATTTCACCACTCCCTCTAGCTTGCAGTCTTTCAATAAATCTTTTTCATTTCAAACTTTTTTATTCAGTCCACACTAATAGCATCTCAAAGCTACTCCACTGTAATTAGTTTTCCAATGTCCGCCCTAACTCCAGTTTCTTCTAGGAACAGCACATTCTCATAATGCTAGCTTTCCCCATATATTTTGTTGTAATTCTATTACTCCCCTTCAATGATTCCCTACTGCTAAGAAATAAATTTCAAAATCCTTAGTGTGACATTCCAAGTCAGTAAAATCTCTTTATGCTCACTGTCTATTTCAATCACATAAATGAATAGAAATTCAGTGCATCACAAGGGCATTTCCGTTCTTCTTCCTCTAAAATGTGAGCTTCTAAGCCTCTGTTTACGGCATTCTCCCTAGTGAGACTACACTTTCCTACCCACCATGCAAGCTAAGTTTGATCTTACTCTGGAGGCCTGACTCAACATCACCAATTCCACAACCTTCACAATTACAGTATTTATAACCTATCAACTGGCACTTAGGATAGTCTATCTGTATTCTGGTTTATCTTTAAATGTAAACATATGTGTTAAAACCTATATACTTTTGTGTGTTATCTTCTGTCTCCCCAAAGACACTGTTAGCTCTATTAGGGTTTGTACTAGGCCTCTGTATTTTGTTTCTGCACCCTAAAGCAGGTGATGGATTTTAACTATGACATCTTATGTGAATGCTTACATCCATAAAAGGTTTAGCTTATAAGACAATCCCACAATCTCCAGGTCTGTGTGCATGTGTGATAGTGAAATTATCTGATAAACATTACTAAAACATGAATTTATTAAATCTAGCCTAAAATATAATATACTACTAGACAATGAAGGATTAAAAAACATTTTTAATTTTGGACCATGTGTCTTCAAAAAGTCAAGGGTAGGAGTGGAAGGAAGTGAAACTGGTTAATAAAATCCTATCCCAAATATTGTGTAAACAGTCTAATATTCTTATTAGTGTACTTGTAGCCCTTACCAATGTGTTCTAGCCACAGTTTCTACAATTCATTTGAATTAAAGACATAATGCAATTTTTAAAAGAACACAAAGATTTGAGCTCATCGACACTGAAATTTAAATTATTAAAAATAAGTTATATTCTGACATTCTGTCACACTATACAAGTGATATTTCCTTATGTCAACTAATAACTGCAAATTTATTTTTGAAATAAAATTACGTTAGAGAGTGGCACAACTGAGCTAAATTATGATTTCAAAGATTGTCAGATTCTTTATAAGCTACTCTTACCTTGTATAAACAAATAGGGTTCCTTCCACGTCAGTCTTCTCCTACGAAACAAAACCACAGCAAAGAATGTGTATTCTCTTCATTGTAGTAGAGTCACATAGAACACCGATTTTATGAATAGACATTCCAGGGAGTTTCAAGTAGGGCCACATCTAGAGGAGGGTTTATTTTTAGGGAAAAGCAGGTTCTCAGGCTGATTGGGGATCTCCTGAGTAAGCAGCAGGAAGAAGTCATTTTGTCATTTTGTCCTTTTGTCATTTACAAATAAACATCATTATCTCTCTTTACCAAATAGGGGGACAGTAACCCAGTTCTGGCTAAAACAATAAGGAGATAAATGTGCTCCATGGGTTTCCTCAGGGAATCTGGTTAAGTGTGCTGTCTTTTTTCCTACTTTTTATAAAATAAAGAAATAAATAAAAACATGTTTTTATTTATTCCCTCCATCACTACTCTTGAATTGAGTATATGGTGTTGCTACAGAAATTCCTGGTATCTGCATTTCATCATCTGTATTTTCTGGGCTCATTTTTTCTTGCACATCCTGTCCCAGGTTACCACAAAGATCAGTTTTCAGACAAACTATTCCAGATAAGCTGGAATATTTAGGAAAGTTCTGATCTTTGAAATAAAGTCAAAAAGAAACTTTACCAAATTACAAGAAATCTGCCTGAGAAAAGCTGGGGGACATGGCAAAGTTAATCAAGAAGACCTCTGATTTCAGTTCATTTAGAAAGGTTTCTCGCCACCTCTGCCCAGGTGAAAATGTTCCGCCTAACATAGCAAAAAAACACTTAACTGCCCGTTTGTTTAGCTAACTAGTAATCACACCATTAAAATTTAGAATGCAAAATGTACGTTTAGCTATTGATGTGACTTCATTTCAGTATTCTATTTAACCTCTCAATATTTTATTATTAATATCCATTACCAGAATCATGCATAATTTAACTACTCTTTAATTATAGTGGAAAATATACTTTAAGAACAAAGGTATAATATTAAAATATTTTAAAGATACACAAAGCACTGGAAGTATGAGATTTTCACCTGTTCAAGTTATTTCAACACACTGTTTCAACACACTGTCCCATATCAGAATAGCCTGAGAATTTACTAGAAATGCAGCCCTTGGGCTCCACCTCCACCAACAGAGTTAGAGACTGTGGGCATGGGAATAGTAATGTCTTTCTTACTAGCCCTCCAGCTGACTCTGATGCAGGCTTTGTGAGAACCATTTGCCCTGGTTTATTAACCTAGTCCTGCCTGAAGAACTATCTTAGGAATCATGAAAACAAAATTCACTCTGCCCCAAATTATGTCAAACATCACCATTATTCTGAAGAGCAAATAGCTACTTAATGAAATTATTGAGCTACAAGATATTAATCATCATTATAGACTATGTAACTGGAAATTGAGAATTTCTAATAGCTAAAGCAACTTTAGTCAGACTTTTCTCAAACATATAAACAATGATAAATTGAGTTCAGGCTTAATCTTGATTTACTATGAAATTTGTATGTCACTTCAGTGTAACTTAGAAAGTCCTCATTTCTCAGACATGGTCCGTTGGCCACCATGCTCCAAAATTTATCAAGTCACTATGAAAAAGAATTATACGATCACACAATTACTTATCTTTGTAAGCAAACATGGCTCATTCATACCTACTAAGGCTTCTGTATCCCAGGTGCACCTTAAATATTAAGAATTAACTGAAAGTGAAACTTAACCAAACCACCACATTAATCATTGTGAAACTGGCAAGTGCAGCACAGTAAATGCTATCAAATGGCCTAGAATTCTGAGTGTTGAAGTGGTACAGTGAACAAGTACTTAACACATGTGCACACATTAAATAAATTGCTGATATTTATTAGTTTGAAAGGAAAGTGAAGCCAAGACATAGGTGATGGAAGTAGAAATCAGAATTCCTCTCTTGTCAGGAACACTTGCTACAAGGTTACTTTCCTGTTTTCTGTATTTGAACTTGAAGTGTTTCAGTTTAGAAATCCAAATTAGGATGTTTATATGTACCAGCACACATAAAGCTAAGAGCTTTTGACTCGGTTCCTTCCTCAATAGAGTAGCAATTATTTTTTAAGGGAATAAAATGCTTTAATGCCTAATTTTAGTTTTGAAAGTAAATGCAAGTAGAAATTGTAATGTAAAAGCATGCGTCTTCTGAAATTATTCTCTAACCCAGAACAGCCATCCTAAAACAGATTTCTATTTCACGTTACACACCAAAAGCACCAATTTGTCCACCGAAAGGAATCATGTTTCCGTTATTACAATATAGGACCTGGAGGGTGCTGACAGGGTACACTGGGCTAATTAGCTTATTAATCTACATGTCAATGTCTGTCTACTAAAAGAGACAGCAGCAGAAAAAGCAGCCTCTGGATCCCAGGTGCACCTTAAATATTAAGAATTAACTGAAAGTGAAACTTAACCAAACCACCACCATGTTAATCATTGTGAAACTGGCAAGTACAGCACAGTAAATGCTATCAAATGGCCTACAAGGTAGGTAGGAATGAGCCATGTTTGCTTACAAAGATAAGTAATTGTGTCATCGTATAATTCTTTTTCATAGTGACTTGATAAATTTTGGAGCATGGTGGCCAACGGACCATGTCAGAGAAAAGCAGCCTAATCTCAAAGTCTTGTAGTGAAGAAACGCTAGAGCTCTGCATACCTGGGTGAGAGGGACTTTGGAAATCAATTTCTGGTGTATTATGGCTGAACTAGTTCAAATTTATGCATTTTCCTGGTCTCTCCACAGTTATCCAAGGATAGCCAGGATTTTATCCCCTTTTTGGCCATAGTTCAGGGTTGGGGGAATGCACTGTAGTTAAAACAAGATTTTACTAAAGCCCCCTGGGTCTTCTGAGGATTGAGTTAAGAGCACCCCTCCACTGTATTCTTTAACTGACACAAAGGTATCTTGGGGGGACATTCTTTCCTGGCAGAGGAAAGTAGGTCTACTTTTAAATTCCTATTCTAGTCAAGACATCCTTTAAAGCAGCCCGTTTTCTGTCTACCTTTCATTCTTAATTTCTGACACTGAAATTACTCCTCTAGCCTTCTGGTATACTTTCTCTGTCAATCTCAAGAATGTTCTTTATTCTTTTATTAGGTTTACATTCAAAAGGCTCCCATCCTTAAGCCCCAAGTGGTTGGATCTGGAAAGAGTGATGACAATTTGTTTACCCCAGTCTCTGCCACTGAACTGGGTCTCTTTTTTTCCCTGGGTGACACAGCCTTGAAAATTAGTACTTTGAAAGAATGACCTTTTACTGAATGAATTATTCCCTGTCTGAAGGGCAACAAGTCCAGGAAGCAGGAAAACATAACTTCTGTAAATAATGCATTGTGACACTCCTGCTTTTTGATGACTCGCGAGAAGGAATCAGTGGATAGTTAACACACCTCTGTAACAACTGTTTAGGGGTGTTTAGCACATAGATCCTGTCAAATCTATGGGAAACAATGGTTATTAAGATGTGTGCTCCTCTACATGTTAATTCTTTGGCTTCTAGAGATTCTCATCCTAGTGTCAAATCATTTATAGAACTATACATTCCTGATCCACTTCTCTGCTGGTTACTTTGACAGAAATATGGCTGCCTTTAACATTTTTTCTTTCCAGGAGCAAAACAGCAAAATGTAGCAGATCTTTGTAATTATTCCTAAATTGCCATCTGCAAGAAAGTCCACTGTGTCGCTCAATGTCCTTTCTATAAAGATGGAGTGAATGAATTCCTTTGAAAATTAGGAGGAAATAGGCTCTCTCTGGATCAAGTAGTATACTTCTTATGACAGAACAATGAATATTAAAGGACTCATTTTGGTTTTTTGCTTGGCTCCTAGCAGAGCGGACCTAACTTCTCTTCCCAGTTTGAAAGTAAATTTCCTCAGTCAAGAATTTAGAGAAAACGGTTCGGTCCCATTTTAGGACTTACTTTTTCATTTAATTTTTGTTCATGATATTCAGGTGAAATTTTATGAAAGACCGCTGAAGATCATGTAAATGTAAGTGGGTGTTAAAAGAACTTGTTCAATATGGATGCTTTCCTTACTTAAATTTAGGTGTTTGTTACAGTTCTGGAGAATACATGTTTAAAAATCATCTGAAATGCATTCATCCTGGCACAGCTATTGAGACTGTTTTGTAACTAATTTAAACAGAATGGATGTATAGACAGATTATTTGTGGGAGACACAAATTACTATGAAGAGAAAAAAGCTCACCTCTCCACATTCAAGAGGGTGGGTCACAAAATTACATACAGTAATTCTTGCCATTGGACTTTTCATGAATCTCCTACCCCATTCTAATGTGAAGAAAGTTAAGTTTCATCCCACTGCGATTTATTCGCATCCTGCTTCGAGAAAAGCACTAAAATAATTTGGCTCAAATGCAAACTCATTCTGTCTTTGGTGGATTATGCAGTGAAAAATCTCTTGAAGAGTATCAATCAGCCTCTTTGTAGGTGCTAGACGCCACTTCATTCTCGCTTTTATTTCCCGGCTCTGCTCTTTTCTTGTGCATTGTCTCAACTCACAACTTCCATCAAGATTTGCCTTGTCGTCCCATGCAAGACTGGTGCTGCTGAACCAGAACTCTCCCATTCGCTTCCCACCCCTGCCTCCTCACCAGCCGCCGTTTTGCTAACAGACCCTGCTTTACGTTCTCGGAGCCCATCAGCCTTGGGCCTCAGCGCATCAGGCCCTCTTTTCCCTTCAGCTCTTGGGGTCCCGTCCCCAGCTGAGGGCATCTTAGATATTTCAGTCTCATCCAACTTCCTGTGGGTGCACAGATCGGCCTCCCTCTCCCCGAAACCTGCGGCCGGGGTCCAATCTCCACAACTTCGGCCTGAGGAGGACGGCGCTCCCGCCCCACTCCACCTCCCGGGCTACAGCATCTCCTCCCCTCGCCCGGGTCCCGAATCCCCAGTCAGACGACCCCCATTCGCACCCCAGCCCAGCCCGCCTGGCCCCGACGCGTCCCCACGCACCCACTCGTTGGCCCGGTGGCCGAAAGTGTACAGAGCCACCTGGCTGGCCACGTCCACGATGCGGTTGATATAGGGGTCGTGGCGCTGCAGGGCCGCCAGGCTGATGTCGCGCCCCTTCCCCATCAGGCCGCCCGCCGCCACGGCCGCCATCTTCCCTCCCTCCCCGACATCAACAAGGGGCTCCCGGAAGCCACGCTCAGTAGATCGCAGAACGAGCGAGCCTCCTCGCAACCGAAAACCCGCGGCGACCACAAGTCCGGGAGCCCTTCCTCCTCCACCCCTCACCCCCCCGCCCTCGCCTCCCGCTACCTACACTAGGCAGAACTAATCGATGGCTGCGCGCCCGCCCGCGCGCGACTGTTGCCACTAGCAACACAAGCCTAGCGACTGTCAGAACCCTACCCTTAGCTAGCCTGACCCCGCCCTTCCCACCCCCACCTCCCACCCCCCACCTGCCTGGAGACTTATTTTCCATCTACTAGAGCCTTTGAGCAGTACCCGCCCTAGGATACTATCTCCCTCCGAGGTGCTCTATTCTTTACTTTGCCTGTTGAGGAGGCGCTCAGTGATCAAACCTAGTGTAAGAATAAATAAGCCTCAAGCAGTAATAACTGCACTGAAAAAGATCTGTGAGTTCTCGAACACCCTGTGGTTCTCAGAGGGTGGTCCTCTGATCTCTGACGGGTTTATGAGAGATTTTCAGGGCGACACTAGACTTATTTGGCTCTTCTACGGTGTTGATATTTGTACGGATGGTATAATGAACCACAGTGGGTGAAAGTGCAGGTGTCTTAGCGTGAATCAAGGCAGAGGTACTGAGCTGTGAGAACTAATGTCAGTTGAGAGTGTTCTTGATAAAGTAGTAAAAATCATTGATAAACTTCAAACTTTGGGTACTCGGCTAGGTTTTTCTATTTGAATTTTTTTCTTTTATATTATTGAGGTAACTGATTTACAGTACTTTGTATGTTTCAGAGGAATAAATTCATTCTGTGTGGAAAAAATAGGAAGTGAGCTTAAGCAATGTGTGCTGAATCCAAAGTGTCATATTTCTTTGCAGGAAAACATTTCCATGCTTGAGTTGCAAGCTCAACTAGTGTTTCTATTTTTATTTTCACGGAACACTGTCTTTACTTGAATTAAAGATGGGCAAACTTTTCTCAGACAGGTATTTGACAACATTATTTCCAAGAGAAATAACTCAGTACTTCCAAAAAACAGGGGACAATTATTGTTGCCAGTGGTAATTTTTGAGCTTTCAAGTGAGAAAAAGTTTAAAAATCTACCATTTGAGTTGGGCAGTTGCTCAATTTGAAGTCTTGTTTGCTGAGATCAGAGATGATATTAATGGGGTGATTTAAAGCATAATTGTATAATGAAAGGTGTCAACCTTCTGAAAGATCTATTTAACTCCACCACCCAATATTTTCCAAATGAGCAATGTGCTACTGTTATGTAATCACGTATGGCCAAAAGATCCATGCAAAGATTTTAATGTGGTTGGGAACAAAAAAGTAACAATTTCAAACAGCACATTGCAATTAATCTTTAAGAAACTACCACTTGTCTAGTTTTGATCAATTATCAAAGAATATCCACAACCACCTCAAAAAGTTGTTTAAAAATACCTATCCCTTTTCCAAAGACATAGCTGTTGAGACCAGAGTTTCTTCATAAACTTTAAATAAAAACAGAGCAATAGATTGTAAGTACAAAGAGATATGAGAATCTAGTTGTTTCTGTTAAACTAACAGAGATTTTAAAAAATCAAATGTAATGTTAATGTCAATTTTCTCACCACAATTTTTGTTTTGGAAAAATATTTTTCATAAAAATATGTTATTGTGTTTACATCTAATAGTCTTATTATTGTTAGAATTAATCAAAAAGCTCTTTAAACTCACCAATTTTAATTTCAAATATGGTAAACATAGATTTAATCTACACTAACAAGTTATTTGAGGGAGTCCTCAAAAATTTTTAATATTGTAAAGGTGGTTTCTTTTAGAGACTAAAAAGTTGAGACCCTCTGATCCAAACTATCTATTTAGCATTGAATATTAGAACAATTGTGTAGAACTATATTTAGGAATTCTTACCTTATTTGATCTAGGAGACACGGCATACATGTCTTCCAGAGAAGTTGCCCAAATAGACAGCAATATAATCTTTTCAGTCAATTTTAATTTTATATAAATGCTTGTTTAAGCTCCACTTTGGATTTTCAACACCATTGAGTCCAAGCCTAACTTTCTAGTGGGGCAATACAGCTGTGGCTTTCAAACTTTTTTTTGTCTGCTGGAATTGGGGCTTACCTGCAACCTGTCTCAGTTCTTTACATGTACAAGTGTATATAAAATATACATTCATGTGCTTATTTTTAAAGATTTATTTACTTATGCATATGAGAAGTGGGTTGTAGGCAAGAGGCACAGGGGTGGAAGCGAGAGGATTCACTGCTGAGGGGAGCAGCAGGCAAGACAAGAGAGGTCTGCCACGCCATGTGGGTCACCTCCCTGACTGGGAATCAAGCTCTTGCTGCAAAGGCTGCAGATAGCTACATAGTGCTGAAACTTAATCCCTTGCACCACTGGGGAGGCCCTATATTCATGTATTTAGATCTGATATCAGCTGCCACAAAAATTCCATGAAACAATCCTAATTGGTACAGATATATTGATACCATGAAGATAGACATATTTTTATATCTCTGTATACATGGAACTTAAAAAAATACTGATTGTGACTTAATTTCTTTCATGATGAAATAATAGAGTGTGACCTATGGTTGAGAAAACACAGGAGGCAACTGATCAACCACTCAAAGCTGCCTAGACAAATTCCCATTAGTACAGTAGCTTGTTTCCACGATGACTGAGCTCTCTTTCCTCTCGATTACATACGACTGAAAACAAGCTTAATTTGTCACATAGACAGTGGAGAATTTAGTGATTAGCTATTGAATTAGCGTGATGCTCTCACTTGATTAGCTCTGCTGATTTTGATTATTCAGCATGAACCCACAGATTCTACTTTGCATTCTCCTTGTACATCTGCAGGGACATTTCTTTCTTTATCCCAGCTTCTGCCTTTAAGTTCCACGAGGCTTATTTAAGATCATTTCCTCCTACTTTTTAAGTCTTTCCACCTTTAAAATGTAAAGACCAGTCTTGGCCTCCAAAGCTCTCTGTTGAACTGAGCCCAACAGAGAAGACAGGTAACACCCGGGCCATTTTCACATCTTAAATATTCATAAAACAAAAATGCCCAGTGGGCTGAGCGACCTACCTGACAAACCATAAAGCATTTATTGAACATCCACTGCATGAAATCCATTCAGTCTTCCCAGGTTATTGCTGCTGGTTGCCACTGTTTTGAGATTATAGCATCATCTCGAGTCCCTGAGCTCATGCAAGAATAAGATGAATGTACTGTTTCTCTGCTTATTGATAGTCACCTATGTGAACCACACACAAAAATGATTCTACTTTTTAGATAATTACTAAAGGGAAAGAGCTATGTTACCTTCTAGTATCTGAACTATTTTCATTTTTTTAAAGATTTATTTACAATTCATACAGAACTGGGGTACAAGCCAGAGGTGCAAAGGCAGTGAGAGGCTTCACCAGAGACAGAGTGGGGAGCAGGACAGGCAGATAGATGAAGTACACTGCTGAGGGGAGCAGAGGGCAGGGTGGGTCAGGAGAGGTCTGCCGTGCCATGTGGGTCACCTCCAGGGCTAGGGATCGAACTCATACTGAGGCAGCTGCTGCTAGCTTGCAGTGCTCTGTCCTAACCTGTTGCACTACCAAGGAGGGCCTTATCTGAACTATTTTCTCCCAAATGTCATACACATTGCCACCTCCCACTCATTTACCCTTATCCTGCCATGATCTCTATCAAGAAAAACCAACTTCCTATCTCCCTCTCTCATGCAATTCTCCTTTCCTATGAATGCTTTGGACATTCTTGTGGTTTTTATTATTGTACTTATTCTCATATCACAGTGATTTAATTACTTTGTTATATGTTTTTTCTACTTCCAAAAAGGATAAAAATTAAGTTACTGTAATTAGAATAGAAACTAGGCTGAGATCAGTGATTGCAACTGAAAAACAAATTAAGCTTTGAGTTTCTTGACAGATGAGCAAAAAGGAAATAGTAAATTTCATAAATTTTCATGTTTTAGATATTTATCATTCTACTGTCCCCCCCCCCACCCCAGCCCTGGGTCTAATGCCTTGTGCTGAATAGAGATTTAGTAAATACTTGCTCTATTGAGTTAAACCATGACTTAGTTGAACTTACTCATTAATGTCAGCTTTCCTTGAGCACTTATGATTTATAGAACTGTGAAACTGTGCTTCCTCGCACATTAATCCTGAGCTACATGCCATTCTGGCTGATCGCATAGGGTCAGGAGGTCATATAGGGTGGCCTTAGAGACCACCCTATGGTGTCTCTAAGCAAGTCACGCCACTTCTCATGGAATAGAGGGTGCTTCCCAACTCCAGTGGTTCTCTACTAAACACCTGTGTTCACATCAAAAGCAGCCCTTGGGCCCTCCCTGGTGGCGCAGTGGGTTAAAGCACAGCACTAAGAAGCTGAAGCCACTTCAGCATGAGTTCAATACCCAGCCAGGGAGCTGACCCACATGGTGTGGCAGACCTCTCCTGACCTGCCTGCTGCTCCCCTCAGCATTGCACTTCATTGATCTGCCTGTTCTGTTTCCCACTCTGTCTTTGGTGAATCCTTTCACTGCCCCCACACCTCTTGCCTGTACCCCAGTTCTGTATGCATAAATAAATAAATCTTAAAAAAAAAAAGCAGCTCCCTTTGCAAACATGTAGACAAGCCCAGAAACAATAATGAACAACATGTTTCATGCACATTGGAATTAGGTCAAGATAGCGGCTCAATAAGGACTTTTAAATATTTTATCAAAAATGGCGATTGAGTGCTTTGAATGAGAGTTTTCTCTTTTGGTTTGTGGTGTTCTCTCATTCTTAGGGAAAAGCAATCACTTTGGGAGCAGGGCTCTCTATCCTACCACTGTTGAGGTGGACTGATGCCAGATTAACCCAGGAGCAATGCATGTTTTAAATCATGTGTGAGGATGTATAGTCTACAAGGAGCAGTCTAGATGGAAT